CGCTGACTACAGGAAGCCCGAGGCAGAGTTGCTCTGCCCCAGGCTTCCTGGAATCAGCGCTGATCAGTTTCAGCAGCAGCTGACTTGGGGAAGCTTGGGGTTCTTAAGTTGAATCTGTATGTAAGTCAGAACTGGCAGTCAGTTTCAGCAGCAGCTGAATCTGGACGCCAGTTCCGACTTACATACAGATTCAACTTAAGAACAAACCTACAGTCCCTATCTTGTACGTAACCCGGGGAGTACCTGTACAGTGATGGGGCTGATCAGTTTCAGCAGCAGCTGACTTGGGGAAGCTTGGGGTTCTTAAGTTGAATCTGTATGTAAGTCAGAACTGGCAGTCAGTTTCAGCAGCAGCTGAATCTGGACGCCAGTTCCGACTTACATACAGATTCAACTTAAGAACAAACCTACAGTCCCTATCTTGTACGTAACCCGGGGAGTACCTGTACAGTGATGGGGCCATATGCAGCCCATAAGGGTTCTATGTGTGGCCTATGAGACATTTTGTTTATCATTGCCCAGGCACAGATTCTGCTGGTTTCCATCTGTGTAATCTTTTTTCCTTCTGGTATTACTCAAGTGACATGGATTTAAAGCAAGAGCATGAGGGGAAGTGTGTGCTAATTGCACACAGCATTGCCTGTGAGAGCCATGTGCAATCAAGGCACTGCTACAGTTCGATTGGTAAACCCTGAAAATTCTAGATATGCAAGTGCGGTTAGCGAAACTACCCTATCCTGGGATACCATCTTGCTTATGACCATCTTTTATCCCACTGTGATGAAGGAGGCCCACTCATGAGGCTCTCTCACTAGCCTACGTTGCCCATTGCTGGACTAGCAGCTCCTTTAGAGCTAAGCAGCCTAACTATAACTTTAGGTCTGACCAGAAAAGATATACGAGGGTTGTAGCTCAAGCAACTATTTAGTTTATTCACTTGCCTGTATCTGTAAGAGTTGAAATTCTGCTCTGTCTGTCACTAGTTCTTAGTTTGTTTTTGAGCGCTGTTTTTCTAAAAAGTTTATTTACAACAGTTTGGATTGTATTATGTAGTGCAGGATTTTGTCCAGCTGTTTGTTGGTTTGGGCATTTTAGTTTTGTTTGATTTTACTGAGCTGTTTGTTTCTGGTTGTTGTGGGGAATTTCTATAAAGGTACAGTGTCTAGGGCAGAAAAACATATTTGATGCTGCTTTGCTTTGGGAAGGAATGCGTTCTTAGTTGATGTTTGTATATTAGCCTTTCACAAACACCACACATAGAACCTATGAAAGTGTCCTTAAACGTTCCTTTTATAGCTGGCTTTGTGAGTGTTGTCTTCTGGGGCAGATTGCTTAAAAGAATTCATGACTAGGTTCCTATTTCAATCGAGTCAGCTACTGGGTGCAAGGTGAGTTTTGTGCATGAAAGAAGCATGCTGTGACTTAATTACATCATCTCCCTTGAACACTGACATAAAATCCACAAATTGGGCCTATTCATCCTGAGTAAGACTATGCTACAATTAAAAACTTACAGCTTGCTCATTAAAGCTGTCTTGTGCTCAGGCTGCACCCTAAGCTCTTGAAAGGAGAGCCCTGCGCAGATACAAAAATGTGGATCTGTATTCAATCCTTATCCACCAGAATCAACCTGTGATCTGCTAGCCATCTTTTACCTGTCTCCAACTGCATCCACAGCAGCAAATTCTCATAAGGGCTAGCAAGTGTATGTGTGTGTCTTTCAGGGAAGAAGCAGCGTGAAGGCGGGGACAGGGGATAAGGGGCAGTGTAGGTGTATGTCTCATTGCATGCTGCTCCCAGGGCTTTGCGAGTGACTGCCCATGACAGAAGCAGTGTATATTGCATCGCAATGTGGTGAGGGTGTGGTTCTGGGACCACGCCTAGTCCAATCTGTCTGGCTCAGGATGAGGGTGGGCCCTGCTGCTTAGGAGCCCACTGGCCGGGCCCAGAATTGATAACATGGTCAGTGCTGCTGGGCCAGCAATGGTAGGGTTGCTGGTGCTGCCTCAAGGGTCCAAACTGCTGGACAGAAAGCAGCGCAGTATGTGTGTGCTGGATTGCCCTGACTCCAATCTGCTGCCCAGCCATTGGCTCTAGCTGCCAGCCCTGAGCACACCACAGCCCCCCAAGCTGCCCGAGCTGGATGCTGCAAGCCAAGTGCTGCTGGCCAGTTGAGTCCTGTGCAGGTGTATCTGCATCTGGTCCACTACCCACAAAAATGGTTCACGGTTATGAAGTAGGGATGTTAGTGTGCAATTGAATGGTCATGTAACTGCATTACAATTTAGAGGTCACATTACTATTCAATAGTCACTGGAGGTGGGCTGGCAGCCAGTAAGCTCCCAGCGCCACCGCCTCTGTGTTAGAGGCATCAGCATAGGGTGGCAGGCAGGAGCTGGTCCATGAGGGGAGCCAGTTTAAAAATTGGACTCGTCAGTTAAGACCAGGCTTATTGGTTAATCATGTAGTTGTCTACACTTTGACATCCCTAGTGTGAAGAGGATAACTGTGCATTTGCCAGGCTCCAGCCTAAGCCTGAACACCTGCATCATGATTAAACAGCCTCTTAGCCCAAGATGGCTGACACAGAACAGCCACATGTGTCTAACTGCAGTGAAGACATACCTCTGAGACTTTCTTTTCCAGCAATATTTTCCCTTCTAGTAGACAAAGGAGAAGAAACAATGAAGAGTGTCACGATGCTCTTTGGCAGCATGACAAACATTATGTTGAAAACCTGACCTTTCAGGAAAATCTTAAAAATACACAGGACTTGTTTACTTTTCGGAAGAGAAGCCTCATGGAAAACCTGATAAATCTTAGTGTTAGCCTAGTGACTGTTCTCCATATTCACTGAATATAGGATGTGAAATAATGGGTTAATCTGTCGCAAGGGCAACTTAGATTAGATATTAAAACATTTTTCCTAATATAAAGATAGTGAAAGAAAAATACGCTTCCAAGGAAGGCTGTGGAGTCCCTGTCATTGCAGGTTTTTAAGAACAGGTTAGATAAACAGCTATCAGGGATGATCTAAAATGTTCAGCCTACATAAAGCAGCCATCCTGGGTCAGACCAATGGTCTGTCTAGCCCAGAGGTTCTCAAACTTCATTGCACTGCGACCTTTTTGACAACAAAAATTATTACATGATCTCAAGATGGGGGACCAAAGCCTAAGCCCCACTGTCCCAAATGGGAAGACCAAAGCCAAAACCTAAGGTTTCAGCCCCAGGCAGGGGGCCTGTAACCTGTGCTCCACCACCCAGAGTTGAAGCCTTTGGGCTTTGACTTTGATCCTAGATGGTGTGGCTCAGACTTTGGCTTTGACAAAGGCTCCAACTAGTCTGAGCTAACCCTAGAAATCTCATTAAAATGGGCTTGCTTGTGACAGACTTTGGGGTTCTGAGACGCAGTTTGAGAACTGCTGATCTA